CACCTCACAGCTGATACACTTTCCAAAGGTTCTATTTCCAGGGGTTCTGTTCCTTTTAAGGTTGTTGGGTTGGGGTTTCAACTCTCTCGTCCAACAAACATACCCCCCAAAGAAAGACAAGGTAGGTTTGGGCCTTAGGTGCCTGCTCCCCACTCAACCCTGGGTCTTGACAAACCGTGGAGCCCACGGGCGCCCTGCAAGTCTCACCATCCAGGGCAAGGCCGTGCCCCCAAGCTGGGCAGACCTCCCTCTGCGATGCCAGGGCAGTGCCTGTCACAGCCAGGCAGAGGGTGCAGGGAGGCCCGCATGGTCCGAGGACACAGGCACTCTAAGGGCTCCAGGGCCACCTGGGAGTGCTGGTTGTGCGGGATGAACAGGTGGGTATAGAGCTTCTGGCCTCTGGGAGGGGCCCGGAGTGTTGTTATGTTTTTTCTAAATATATTTTTATTCATTTTTTTTGAGAGAGAGAGAAAGAAACATCTATGTGAGAGAGAAACTGATCAGCTGCCTCCTGCACGCCCCCCACTGGGGACTGAGCCCACAACCCAGCATGTGCCTTGACCAGGAATGGACCCGGAGACCTCTTGTGCATGGGACGATGCCTAACCACTGAGCCACACCAGCAGGGGCAAAGAGTAATATTCCTGAACTGTTGTGTGAGTTTCCACTTTAAGCTTCCCTGGCCCCTTCCCTATGCCCTGCGAGGTCTGAGCCTTCCACCTTCTGGGCTGGAACCAGGCAGAGGGGCTGGCCATCTGAGGCCACTGTCCCCAGTCCCTCCCTCCCTCAGGGCCTCCACCTGCTCCACCTGCCCCAGCTGTGGCTAGACCAGCGGCTCGGGGTTCTCATCCTGCCCAAGCCTCAGTCTCTGTGGCCCCGTCCTCAGCACGCACCTCACTCAGGCCCAGGGACAGACACAGCCTTTCTGCCCGGTCAGTTCCAGCTTCTCTCATCTCCCCAGAGCTCCTGCATCTCTCCTCTCTCCTAGTCTCAGATGGAACAGGACACCTTTTTGCTTCCCTGGGCCTGGTCCCTTCCCTCTGCAGAGTCCAGGCCCGACGTGCCCTCTTCCCCAGCACCATCCCGGCTGGCTCAGGTCTCTCCGGGCAGTCCCATGCTTCCTCTGCCACCCTCTACCCTTCTACCATCCTCCTCAACCCTGCCACCTGGGCAGCCCCCAACCCACAGCCCTACCCACGTATCCCCCCGTTAACAGTGTGACATCTGCTTCCATGTTTCCCCCAAGGTGGCAGCGTCAGACAGGTTAGCAAGGGGGACCTGAGCTGGTCTCTGCTCCTCTCCTGAGACTTGTGTGCCTCCCAGCACATTCTGGACCTGTGGGAGGTGCCTGCGTAGGCTCAGCAGTGACTGTAACATCTGACCCCCGGCCTTTCTCTCCCCCATCGTGTTCGCCTGTCCCTGACCTCTCTGTGCAGCCTCCTGGGAGCTGACAGCAAGCCCACCCTGTCTGCGGCAGCTCCCAAACCTGCATGTCCACTGCTGCCCCCGTTCCTGACTCCACTTGTCTGGGTGCCACAGCTGCTTAGACATCTCTCCCTGGGCATCTAGCCAGCGCCTCGAACTTAACATGCCAACACTTACAGCTCCTCTCCTTCATGCTGCCAAAAGGCAGTCACAACAGGTGCTTAAGGCCACCAAGCAGCGATCAACTTCCGGGGGAAATGTTTAATATTCCAGAAATGCGGCGAAGCAGCTCACTCTGTAGTGGGCAGTTGATTGTGAACTGTGCGGGGGAGGAGCCCTCCCGCCTGCAGCATCAGGCCCTCTGAGGTCTCAACTCAGGGCTCCCTATCATCTCCGACAAGAACTCGTGCTTCCCAACAGCCTTGGGAGCTGGTTACTCAGTGTCCTCTCTGAAATCACCCTTTAGTTCTCTCTCACATCACCATGTTAGGTTTTTAAGTCTTGACCCTTCTCCTGCCCCCAAACCCCACATTCTCCCTCCCTCTCCAGTCCTATGTCCAGTCCCCCTGGCCTGGGTCTGCAACACATCACCACCTCCTAACCGAGCCCACACACGCTGGCCTCTGTCACAGGTCACGCCCTGGAGGCACAGAGTGGACACATCATACTCCTGTTTACACAGTTCCAGGGTCCCCCTTGACTCAAGTCCAAACTCCCGCTTGTAAATTAGGGCCTCCCCCGTGAGCCCCAGTCTAGCTGCCTTCCACTCTGCTGTTCTCACCCCCTCCTTACAGATCCCTGCTCCAGCCAAATGAGACTTCTAGCCATCTGGGAACAAATGTTCCCTCGGCCCAAAATAACCTACATCCATCTCCACCTGTTGAGATCTGTCCTTGGAGCATTATTCAATAAATAGTACTGGGACAACTGGTCATTCGAAGGAAATGTTTTAGATTCTTCCCTTCATACCACACACCAAAATATATTCCAGCTAAACTAGAGTTAAACATACAATATAAATGTATGACAAAATCACATATACTTAAAAAATGTTTTTAATCCTCATCTGAGGATATCTTTCCATTGGTTTTTCAGAGAGTGGAAGGGAGGGAGGGACAGAGAGAGAAACATAGATGCAAGAGAAATACCTCGACTGGCCACCTTCTGCACGACCCCAAATGGGGCCAGGGATCGAACCCACAACCGAAGCATGTGACCTTGACTGGACTTGAACTCATGACCCCCTGGTCTGATGGCCATGGCTCCAACTGATGAGCCACACTGGCCAGGGCTAGAATCACATATATTTCAAAAATCAAACTGTAGCCCTGGCCAATGTGGCTCAGTGGTTGGAATGTTGCCCGATATCCAAAGGGTTGGGGGTTCTATTCCTGGTCAAGGGCACATACCTGGGTTGCAGGTTCAGTTCCCTGCCCCTGCCAGGGGACATGTGGAAAGCAGCCAATTGATGTGTCTCTCTCACACCCATGTTTCTCTCTCACCCAATCCCCCCTCCCTCCCTTCCACTTTCTCTAAAAGTCAATGGAAAAAAATATCCCTGGGTCAGGATTAACAACAACAAACTGCAATTTGGACATTCAGTCTAATGGCAGGTGAAGCAGAGTAAGTCCAGAGAGCAGAGAGGAACATTCTTTTATACGGGTAAGGGGGAGAGCCAGAGGGGTTGTTATCAACAAAGAGCCCACTGGAGGAACCTGGGAGTTCAGAGTGTGGTGGTTTTTCACTGGCTGGGTTGTAACCCTCTCTCATGGCTGAGTGGTTAGGTGGAGGAGGAGATCCGCCTTCTTCCTGCTGGAGAAGGAGAGGAAAAAAATCTCCTGTGGCGGGTGGAAAGAAGGTACCTTCCCGCTTGGGGTAACTGATGAAAAGTTCAGCATGAGCTCCCGGACAAACCCTCCCCGTGAGGTTTCTGTTGACTCATCTTCACACAATAAATCGAACTCTAAAATATAACCTGTTAAAACCAAGCTGACGCCCTGGCCAGTTTGGCGCAGCAGTTAGAGCTTCAGCCCAAAGTCCTGGGTTCGGTTCCTGCTAAGGGAACGTACCTCAGTTGCAGTTTGCCCAGGCCCCAGCTGGGGTTGTGTGGGTGGCAGCCAGTCCATGCGTCTCTCTCACATCTATGTCTCTCTCTCTCTCTCTTCCTCCCTCTCTCCCTCCTGCTCTATCTGATGATAAATATGCAAAAATGTCCTGGATGAGGATAAAAAAAAAAACACACACACACAAAAACCTGATATGAACAGGGGGTAGAGAAATCCTCTCATGTTGGGGTCTCCATGTACGGTCAGCAAGCAATTAGGGAGGGAGTTGTGCGGTCATCTTCCAAGGCCAGATGACGCCTGGCCTCACATTCTTTCCCTAATTCAACATGCGCATGTCCTCTCCAAGACAGAAAGGGCCACGGCCCCCAGACCCCATCTCTTCCCCTGGATCCTCCTGTTAGTCTGATGTTTGAACGTGTTTTTTCCAGGGAGCTGGGTCACGTGCCAGCGTCACAACGCGGTTTGAGGGGGGCGCCTCGCACACGGTCACCACGTCCGCGAACTAGAAAAGGACCCGACGGGGTCCCAGCAGGGGTGCTGAATACTTGGAGACCTTCCTTTGTGTCGGGTTGTGTTTTCCATGCTTCATCTCACTTACCGACCATGGAACAAAATCAACCAAGTATTCCGTCACCGAAAAGGACCCACTGGAGGAAAAGGAAGGGCTGCAACCCGCGCCCCGTGTCGCGCCCCTCGGAGGCAGAGGGGGAAAGAGCAGCCCTTCCCCAGAGGGAGGGAGCCACGGGCGGGGCTCTCCCGGGGGGACCCCGTGTAGGCCAACGTCTTCGCCGTGCACCGTGTCGCTCTCATCCCCACAGCAACCCCGGGGGCAGGGCCGGGGGGCCGGGGGGCTGACCCGGGCGCGCGGCCGCCCTTTCCCCGAGGCCCTGCCCTACTTCCACCCGCTCGTTTCTGCACAAGACGGACTCCTCGGGGGACACGGCCGGCGGTCGTGGGCGCCCGGACCGGGGGCCGGCGGAGGCGCCCCCGCGGCTTCCTGCGTCGTCAGGACGACGGCGGTGACGTCCCCACGCCCGAGCGGGCCTTCTGCGCGGCGCCCGCCCACCGAGGCCCAGGGCACGCTCCCCGCTTCGCACTTCCCACGGTTTCCGGCACGACCCCAACGCCCCCGTCCGCCAACGCCTCCCCCACAAGGACCGGCGACGGACCAGTGTCACCGCCGGCCACGGCCCCGCCCGCGACGTCACTTCTCCGCGCCCCGCCGCCGCGTGCGCGCGGCGCTTCCGGCCGCGAGGACGGGTGGGCGTGGCGGGCGGCGTCACGCGGACGCGCGCCGGAAGCGGGCGCCGGCCGGAGCGGAAGGGGCGGGGCGCGGGGGCGATGGGGGGCGGCGGCCAGCGATGAGCCGCCGGAGCGAGTGAGCGGGACGGCGGCGAGGCTGGGGGGCCGCGGAGAGCGAGCCGCAGGGCGGAGGGCAGGGGCGCGAGCGCGGCGGGCGGCGGGCGGCGGCCAGGGCGCGGCGGCGGCGGCGGCGGCCAGGGCGCGGCGGCCGAGAAGATGGCGGACGGCGACAGCGGCAGCGAGCGCGGCGGCGGCGGCGGCGGGCCCGGCGGCTTCCAGCCCGCGTCCCGCGGCGGCGGCGGCGAGCAGGAGACGCAGGAGCTGGCCTCGAAGCGGCTGGACATCCAGAACAAGCGCTTCTACCTGGACGTGAAGCAGAACGCCAAGGGCCGCTTCCTCAAGATCGCCGAGGTGGGCGCGGGCGGCTCCAAGAGCCGCCTCACGCTGTCCATGGCCGTGGCCGCCGAGTTCCGCGACTACCTGGGCGACTTCATCGAGCACTACGCGCAGCTGGGCCCCAGCAGCCCCGAGCAGGTGGCGGCGGCGGCGGCGGCCGAGGAGGGCGGCGGGCCGCGGCGCGCGCTCAAGAGCGAGTTCCTGGTGCGCGAGAACCGCAAGTACTACCTGGACCTCAAGGAGAACCAGCGCGGCCGCTTCCTGCGCATCCGCCAGACGGTCACGCGCGGCGGCCCCGCGCCCGGCGGCCTGCAGAGCGGCCAGACCATCGCGCTGCCCGCGCAGGGCCTCATCGAGTTCCGCGACGCGCTGGCCAAGCTCATCGACGACTACGGCGGCGACGACGACGAGCTCGCGGGCGGCCCGGGCGGCGGCGCGGGGGGCCCCGGCGGCGGCCTGTACGGGGAGCTGCCGGAGGGCACCTCCATCACGGTGGACTCGAAGCGCTTCTTCTTCGACGTGGGCTGCAACAAGTACGGGGTGTTCCTGCGCGTGAGCGAGGTGAAGCCGTCCTACCGCAACGCCATCACCGTCCCCTTCAAGGCCTGGGGCAAGTTCGGGGGCGCCTTTTGCCGGTATGCGGATGAGATGAAGGAGATCCAGGAGCGGCAGCGGGATAAGCTGTACGAGCGACGCGGCGGCGGCGGCAGCGGCGGCGGGGACGAGTCTGAGGGCGAGGAGGTGGATGAGGATTGAAACGCGCAGCTTCCCCTGCAGGCCTCCCCCCCACTGCCATCCCCTCGTCGAAAGAGCTCTTTCCTGCTCCTCCCCAGTGAGCTGGTGGAGGGAGAGCCAGGGAGGCCCCACAGGGAGAAAACAAAATTTAAAATAATGTAGTTACTTACAAGAACAGTCACGGACAATTAGAAAAAAGCAGTCAAGTTCCAAGGAGCTGACAGCAACCTGCAAAGAAAACAACAGTGTCTCACCTGAGCAAAATAGTCCCAGCTTCTGTGGTTTCCCAAACTGGGGTTCCTAAACCCATCGGGATAATCCTGGTGGCAATAGGTCCTCGAACGTCAAGGAACACTTCTGAGTTACCCAGCCCTCTTGGTAACAGCTGGGTTTGGGTTGTACTTGGGAACCTGGTCTAAAGATATCGCCAGACCTCGCTGTTGCCGTGTCTAATCCTTCACCTCATTGAAATCAGCATTTTGGATCTAAGTCTTCATGGAATTCTTGAGAAGAGAGAGACCTTTGCAGTTACCCAGTTCTGAGGGTACAGGTTTCATGAAAACGAATAATCATGGACAGGGCAAACTATGAATTCAAGAAGTCACCAGGGAATGCAGAAACAAATTGGATTCATTTTGTTTAAAGATGGTTTTGCACAATACCTGGACCAAGACCCCAGTGTCTGCAGAATTGTCTTTCGGGATGCAAATAGATTCAGATGTCAATCCTTGAACTAGAATTGGTTACTAAAATATTTTAAAAGTTGGCAAAATTTTTTTGAAGATGAAAGAGCAGTTTTATGTTGGGGGTTGCTGAGATATAGGCACAAGGGAAAATCAGGCGTAAAGCACAAGGAAAAAACTATTTGAGTGGATTGGTTGCTTGGTTGCTGCTCACTAAAGTTCTTCCCCTGATCTCTTAAAAATGGAGGTCATTAACCAAGAAATGGCTTAGGTATGAATGAAAGCCAGATCCCTGTGGCTCCGCCATGTGAGCCAATGAATTAAGGCTAATTCGGCTGTTTCAGCCACTGTTTGGCTGGATTTTAACCCATAAAACTTGAAAAAGGAACAGTGTGGCTACAAGCCTGAGCTTTAATGAAATATACGTCTCACAGAAAAGTTGGAAATAACCAAAACTGAAGTCTTCCTCTACCTTCAGTTTAGTCTGTGGATTTGTTCAAATACTAAAGATCCTCAGGTCCAGAATTCCAGCATCATTTATTCTTTTTAAATAAATTTTTTAAAACTTGATCCATTGTTATCAGTACCTCACAATCAAAGTTGGCAAATGATGGATGTGTATCAGGCAAGCACTGTGCCCTTTGGAAGTGGGAATCCATCCAGTGGAGCTTGAGTGAACGTGAATGTGCTGACTATATCCTGGAAGCATTTTTATACCATCTTGAAATTCCAACAAAACTGGCTTTTGCCAGTTTATCCAGCTGTCTTTCGAGAATAAAGGTTGGGGTTTTTCAAGGATCGCCTCTTCTATATTTTAAATGGATTTTCAGTAGAAATGATTTTTACTAATCAAGTTAATCCCACCCCATCAAAAGGTATTTGAGTGTCATAGACCTAGGTAACTTTGAATCGAATGGGAGCTGTGTTCTTTCCAAAGTTTTTCAGGTATGCTTTGTGGGACACCTTCTCAGCCAGAGGCAAGTAACCCCATGTCCACACTTAAGTGTTTTTTTGTTTTTTTTTTAACTGCATGACTGCCCTTTATTTGAGCTGCCTTTTAATTTATTGCATACCCTTTTTATTATTTTGGTATAATTCAATGTATACAGTCTTTTTGTATTTATTAGGAAATAAGTGATATACAAAAAGGTCATTTTCATGCATTGTGGCTGAGAGGGAGGGAAATAATCATGTATATATAATTAGGCTTTTTAAAAAATTAGACTGTGATTAAGAATATTATTAATCTTTGATTTTTAAAAGTAGAAGAGCCACAAACATTGGTGCCCTTTTCAGACAATTTCTCTACTCTCATCATCCACAGTAGACTTTTTAAACAGACTTTTTTAAAGCTTTTTTTTTTTTTCTCCGTTGCAAAGAATGTTTCCTAAATTCAATGGGAGCAATAGTATTTTTGATGTTTTAATGACATCCGTATACTTGTACTGTATTTTGTACTACAAGGCAGCTGTTTTCAATGATGTCCTGCTGTATTTACCTATGTGTTTTGAGTGTTTTATTTCTTTGCTGCGGAGAACAAATCCCTAAATAGTTTCAGTAAAGGAGCTGAGAAACTAGCATTAGGTCTGCAGAAACTGTTTAAGTTTCAGACTTTGAGGCAGCAATGAAAATTCAGTTTGCAGCTATTAGTTGATTGCTGTAACTTTTTCATTTTGAAATCATGTACAATTCCTGTATAGACCAACTTGTCTTCTTGCTTCAGTGGTGGTTCTGTTGCTCAGCTGCAGTGAGCCAGTTCAATTTTGCAAAGGTGCGGTACCTCTCCTTTTTAAGGGGTAGGTTTATTCTTTTTTCTGTTCTTTTTGTTTGGCTGAATTGCAGTAACTAGCCTTGCCTTTCTATTCTGTAGAAATGACAGGGTCTTCACAATCCTCACCAGTGGCTACTAAGCTATAATTAGCTGAATAGAAAGAATGTGGAAATGGTCTGAGGCATATAGAGTATATGCCAAGAACACTACCATATATGGAATCAGCTTTGGTTACCAGAGAAATTTTCTTAGTCATTAGACCATATAACAGTAATATATCATATGTAAATCTTTAGATATCAATTTGAGAATCCTCCAAAAAAAGGAGCAAAGAATGCATAAGCTATGTGTTGGAAAAGTAATTTATATTAAAATTTTGACCTGCCTATGTAAGGTTAAGTGGTAAATGTCATAGTGGTGGGTTTTAAGTCTTAACCAATCTTAAAGGTTTGTTTCTCCTGCAGGGTGGTTGATGGCCTCTCTTCCCACTGCAGGAAGGTTACAGAAGGATGTGGATTGATTGTAGCATTTCACTGATCCTCCTTCCAGTCACTAGGGACAATAGAAACTATGCTTATAATGTGTGGTTTGTTAAATAAGGCAGTATTAACGGGCTAACTTTCAGAACTTGGTAATAGGTATTGCTTATTAAAGGAAATAATCTTTGTTAGATTTAGGCAGAAAACGTTTTGTGTTCAACTGCTATGAACAGTGATTTAGGGCTTGTTTTTTACTTTGTCAAACATCCCAGCTAATGACATGTTCAAAATCGTCATATTCCTGAGAAGTAGGAAAGTAAAATTTTGTTTCCAGTGATTGATAAAATGTTTGTTTCTCGAACTACTGCAGTTAAAGAAGTGAGAAGTCCACAAATTTAGGAACAGAATTGAAAGAGCAAAAAATTGACAATGGCCCACGATTCCCCTCTGGTTTCTATTGTCCCTACCTGTCATTCATGAAGAACTGTAGTTCTTGTCTGCAGAGGAAGTTGTCAGTGTATGTGCTGCACAGAACAACGTGTAAATCTGGATGGCACCAAATATCAAAGCGAAAACCAAACCAAAACCCAGACACCCTATGTTACTATGGGAGGCATGTAGGTGGTACAAATGACTGTGGCTGTGATACAGATACGGCTGCTTGTCAAGTCACTTTCCATAATATTTACTGCAAAATGATTGAGAGGCCTTTGGTGCAGGCGGCCATTAACCTGCTTCCTTTGTTACCTCTCAGTCACTTTGCAATAAATTGCAGGTCTTTCAAGAGATTCACGCTTCAATTTTCTCAAAACAAAACAATTATCCTGTCTTAATCTGAAAATGCAGGGTTGTGGGCAGAAGAGGCTGGTTATAATAATGCCCTCATATTGAGTGGTCTGTAAACGGCTGCACACTTCAGGCACTCTAGTTGCTGAGGATGCTTTGTTAAATGTGACCTTGACTGGCTTTACAGGGGGTAGAGTGATCTACACAAGGTATTAAAAGGTGACAATTCGCTTGTGTCTACCTTACCTTGAGGTAGATGAAATTAAGGAGAAGCTTGAGTGTGTAAGCTATGCACATAAGTATTCTTCACTGTAAATTTTGTTTTCATTTTAACCCAATTATGGTACTTTGTCCAATGCACAACTGATCTCTCAGTAGATATTCATTTGAAAATAGTGTGGCCTTGATTGGTGAGAAGGGGAAGGAGAGAAGTGACTTGCTTATGTAAAAATGACTCATTTGCCAGGAGTCATTCTGCAGCACTCTTAGTACCTAATGTGTTTGTGATTGGTCTCATTTTTGATTGGGGAAATTTAGTGGTTTTGACCCCAGAGTTATTAATCCAATTGAGTTGTCTTCTATTTTTAGGAAGTATCAGAATTGTTCTGATAAGTACAAAGTTGACTGCTTTGATGTCCAATCTCAGGTTTTAGAATATATATAGTGGTGTGAAATCCCACTGTTAACTCTTAAAAAATAATTTTAATTTAGCACACCCTTAGAAATCACATGCTTAGGCCTGTTCAGAGAGCAGGGCCTCCCATCTTTTTGCTCCTTTTCCATTTTGCACTCACTTGAGGAAGTGGGGAGTGATACATTGTATATTGCCATTTTTTTTAACCCTGCCATTTTTCTCAAGATAAAGCACTTTTTGATCATGAAATACATGGAATCTTTGTGTGATGTGGATCATGGTTTCTCAGGCTCCCCTAGATAATCTGCTTATGAATATTATTCTGACTCTATGAAGAGTAGAAACCTTTGCTAATGTTAGAAAGTTTGTATTATTGATCTAGAATGCATTTTGCTAGCTTACAATGGATGGGACAGTGAACAATGCTGCATTCACAGTTTATAAGTTACTTTCCCTTGAGCCTTAAGGTAACTTTTTTTGTCAACAACAGCACTGAGTTATTGTAAATGAATGAGATTCAGTTTTCAGGGTTAGTTTTAGAGTACTGTAAATCAATTAGATGTCTTCCTAAACAGTTACTATTCCCATTGAATAAACTGAATAGTGGGAGTGTGGGTGGGGCTGGGGGGGGTGGGGAGATAGTTTGTAGAAAAGACAAAAAAAAAAATAAAAAATTACCTTAAGATATTAGAGACAAAAAAAAAAAGTGCATGTCAATGCCCTGTTTGAAATTTCAAATATAAGGTAGAAATGGCAAATTATAACTTCATTTCCCATTTTAAATCTAGAAGGCAGCCATTAATTTTCAAATGTTAGACCCCAGAAGTTTCAAGAGATAGACTATTTAAAGTCACCATTCCAAGTCCTCAGTCTTAAAACAGTTTTATTATTGATAATTTAACAGACTCTTAATAAATGTGGTCCAGTTGTCAGTACCAAAAGTTAAATTTGGAAAATGAAAAAATGAAGACTTATTACTCATGTAATTCTCAATTGGTATCTGTACCTCTGATCTAAGTAAGACCTTATGACTATATTTCCTAATGAAATAGGGAATATGTCATCAATGTAATCACCTTTATTCACAGTCTTTTACTTTTTTTTTTTTATTCTCACCCGAGGACATTTTTTTTTTTGCATTTATCTTCAAGTAGAGCGGGAGGGAGAGAGGGAGGAAGAGAGAGAGAGAAACATCGACGTGTGAGAGATACATTAACTGGCTGCCACCCACACAACCCCAACCAGGCCGGGGACAAACTGCAACCGAGGTACATGCCCTTAGCGGGAACTGAACACAGGCCTCTCCAGTCTGCGGGCCGATGCTCTAATCGCTCAGCCCAACCGGCCAGGACACAATCTTACTTTTCATTTGAAAATGTAACATGCCTCTTGAATCAGACATTCCCACTGGGACAGGCAAAGCCATGTTAGAACAGCAGCAATAGAGTAGGACTGTACTTGTAATTAACATAAGATTTTGAGTCTAGGAGCAAATTTCATCTTCCCTATGTTGCATACAGTGTCCCACCTATAAGTGAGGGCTGGTTATATCTTTAGTGTGATGAAATGTGGGCTCCAAGTATTGGAGAGAAAAACGATAGACCTGTCCAAGTTCATTGTCCACCAGCAGTTTTTTTTTATCCTACCTTCAATAATTTCAACAGCTCTTTCAAGAAAATTTATTTAGACCACTCCTTAGTCCTTAAAGGTAAACTTTCATCCCCATTCTTACCCTGTGTCACAAGATCAGGCTGATTCAAAAAGATCTTTATATTTAGAAATAGCAGAGCAAGTAGTATTTTTCTCCCTTTAAAATTGCTTTTTCAGGAACATATAACTACAGGGAGAGTCCTAAGGAAATTGAAAAAATTATATCACTAAGCACAGGTGTAGGAATTTGGGAGTTTCGCATTCAGCTTTACAGACAGGAGATGTAGACCCTGTTCTCCCAGCGGCCTGCATGTTCCCTGTGTGCAAAAGCTCTGGATGCCTGGAAGTGGGCAAGTGCAGAGCAGGGCATACTTCTAAAGAGGGGGCAGTTTTGCATGTTACAGTAGCAGGCAAGTATATTTGAGTTTTTTTGATGATTATCAATATTTGAATAATGTTAAGAGTATCATTGTATTTGGACTTCTTTTTCCTAAAGTTCTAGGGAACTTATGCTTCCTTTTGCACCTTCATGCGGGTGTTTTCCCTGATCACCTTTAAAAGTCTGTTTGTATTGAGATGTTTCTAGTCATATCTGCCAGGGCTTCCTTAGGTTAGATTCTTCACTCCAAAGTGAGGCTGATGTCCTGCTGGTAGAGAATCTCCAGGCATCACTTGAATGAAGTAAAACCAAATCTTGACAGCAGGAGACAGCTTCCTGGTCTTTTTAGATGTACAACTAGAGTTTAGGTTGGAGGTCACTTTACACTTGATCTTGGCCAAAAGGCTGAGAAGCAAGGGGAGTTACTTTAAAAGGGGTTTGGGGGTGTGTTCAGTCTGTGTAAATACCCACCTGCTGTGCATTGTAAACCAAGTGTGTGTTCTTATGTGTGAATTTGTAGGACTGACTTCTGCTTCAAGAGAAGCTGCACCTTTAATTTTATAAGGTTCCCTCCACCTGTAACCCTATAAATATTTGTAAATAGAACACTAAAATTTGTAGTGATAGGATCAATTTGGGAATATCTGCTGAGAGACCAAAAAGTTCATTTTTTTAAAGTACCTTGGTTAAAGAGTAAAGATTATTCCTCTTATTTTTTAAAAGAAGAATGCACTTTAACAAACAGCTGCATGGGCAATTCAAACAAATCCGTGAAGTGCAGTACCCATTCAGAAACCATACTTCCTGGAAACTTCAAAAACAGAGTCTAGATGGGCTGTTGATCTCGCTGCCTGGAGGTTGAAGCTCAGATTGCGGTCAATTTCAAGATGAGCAGGGCTGCTTCAAAAGAGCATGTGAATACAGCCAGAATCTTCAGACAGGTCTCTAAAATGGCGGGTCCCATAATTACCACCAACTAGCAAAACTGACAGAAAAACTCAGAGAGAAAAAAGTGTAAGAATCCTTACTGCTGGTGTGTACTCCTTCCAATAACAGACTTTTGCAAATGGAGTTTTACAGTCTATATTTAAAAAATTGTATGTTTGTAACAAATAAAGTATGCGGAAAAGTGAATGACAATCTTGTGCTGATGTCTCTAATTTAAGGAATTGCCTGGTGACTGGGAGGGGGATGCCATTCAGCATCTGCTGGTGCTCATAAATGGGTATGGAATTGGGTAAGTTCCCACCGATGTGACTTATAAGCCATTGCATATTTCATCTGCCCGGGATTCCCATAACCCTTTCCTAGTTAGTAAGTAATCTGTGGAGTAAATCAAAGTTGCAAATTAATTTTATGCTTTGGTTCATTTCCCAGACAGGCCACTTGTCGCATCCCCTACTTTCTTCCTATACTGGCTTTTGGACGCTCTCATTTCCAGTGGATGTAAAGAAACTGTTCCCTTGCTGTATATTATCATAACTGACTTCTTACAGAGTAGATTAGGCCAGTCTTAAGCCAATATTAAAGGAAAAATAAAATTGATACGTTCGGGAGGATGGGAAGAAAAACCAAAGAATTTCTATGTATATGTGCATAATCAATGGACATAGACAACAGTGCAGTGAAGGTGGGGGGAGGAAGTGGGCAGGAGGGTGTCTGGGGGGAAAAAAAGAGGGATCTGTAATACAACAATAAAAAAAATTAAATATTATAAACCACACACACAAAAATTATGTCCGTACACAGAAAAACATTGCTTTGCTGCCTTTTACACACCCCCTACTGGGGATTGAGTGTACAGCCTTGCTGGGCATGTGCCCTGATCAGGAATCAAACCTGTGACCTTTAGGTGCATGGGATGACGTTCAACCAACTGAGCCACACTGGTCAGGGTACAAATAGAACTTTTTTATTTTTTTGTTAATCTTTACCAGATGATATTTTTCCACTGATTTTTTTTTTTTTTTTTTTTTTTTTTAATTAGAATGGGAAAGAGGGAGAGAACATCGATGTGAGAGAAACACATCAATTGGTTGCCTCCCACACAACCCCGACTGGGGCCTGGGATTGAACATGGAACTGAGGTATATGCCCTTGTTTGGAATCAAACCTGTGACCCTTCAGTCTGCAGGTGGACACTCTAACCTCTGAGCAAAACCAGCCAGGCAGAAATTGAACCATTTTTAAGAGAAAAATAACAAGTATAGTCCAGCTGGTGTGGCTCAGTGGTTGAGCATCGACCCTTGCACCAAGAGCTCGCTGGTCTGATTCCTGGTCAGGACACATGCCCAGGTTGTGGGCCTGATCCCTAGTGGGGGACAAGCAGGAGGCAGCCAATGGATGTTCTCTCTCATCAATGTTTCTATCTCCCCCCCTCTCTCTAAAATCAATAAAGAGAAAAAAAAATTTTAAATATCAAGTATAGCCTGGCTGATGTGGCGCAGTGGCTGAGTGTCAACCCATGCACCAAGAGGTCACCGGTTCAATTCTCAGGGCATAGGTTGTGGGCCTGATCCCCAGTGGGGGGCATGCAGGAGGCGGCCAATTGATGTTCTCTCTCATCGATGTTTCTATCTCTCCCTTTCCCTTCTTCTCTCTCAAAAATCAATAAAGGAAAAAAAAGAATGAACACCAACAAGGCCAAAAACAGTGTTAGGAAAGTAATTTTGACTCTCCCCCCACCCCACCCCCGAGAATATTTCGGGATCTCTGAGAGGTTCTGGATCACTCTGAGAACCACTGAACTAGACTGGGATGTAAAAAGTGTGCCTTTCTGAGGATCTGGTGGAATTGAAGACTAAGCTTACTAATCCTTTAGTTCTTCCCATGTTTCTTTTCTTTATAGTAGAGCCTCTTGCTCTACTATAAATACATCTTTGGGACACAGACACAAAGTATTCTACCTTGTTAAGATGAGAGGCTGGGCTGTGGGGTCCTGTGGTATAAGGAAGGGAAAGGGAGGAAGGGCTGGGATCTAGTAGAGGAAAACAAAAGAAGTGTAAGACCATAGAGGACTCTAACCCAGGCCCAGAACCTGTGACTGCTGTGCCAAAATTACCCACCTCATCACTGGCATGCAGAACCCTTTAGCATGTGCCAATCACTTGGAGGGCTTTTTTTAAATCCTCACCCGAGGACACTTTTTTGCGTTTATCTTCAGATAGAGAGGGAGGAAGAGAGAGAGAAACATCGACGTGAGAGAGACACATTGAGTGGTTGCCACCCACACAACCCCAACCGGGGCCAGGGACAAACTGCAACCGAGGTATGTGCCCTTAGCGAGAACCGAACCCGAACTCTCTGATCCACGGGCCGACGCTCCAACCACCGAGCCAAACCGGCCAGGGCAGGAGGGCTTCTGAGACACCAGTTCCTGAGCTCTGGTTCAGCTGGTGTGGGTGGAGCCCAAGAAGCTGCATTTCAAGCAAGTTCCCAGGTGCTGCTGCTGCTGCTGGTTAAGGACCCACTTGGAGCCTCGCTGCAGAAATTACAAAAGTTCTGGGGAAATTAGCTGTTGTCACCAACTGACAGAGGCCTCAGGAAGCATTCGCCCTGGTGCACTGGTTCTGC